ATAATAGAAACAGAAGTGAGTGACTGTGGGGGATAAAATCTTAACTTCAACCATATATGTGTTGTTTTCCCTTTCTTAATAAAAGGTCACAGACTTTCTTTGACTCTGGCTCTTCCTATTGCCAACCCATGTTGCATTTTTTGCAACGAAAACATCCTTTGGGCATCATCTACTATTTGGAGTTTTCGATTTCTTTGAATAAGAAAGAAGTTTCAGGACAATTTGCTGAGTGACGCAAGTGCAGGATCCTTCTAGGTTTTTATCAGATTATTCCTTTTGTCATTTCTTCTATAGCTGTCTCTCTGACATCTAAAATTAGAAAACAATTTTGTGGTGGTAAAATATACATAAAATTTACCTCGCAATCATTTTTTTAAGTATTTGATTCAGTGGCATTAAGTACATTCTCAATGTCATACAGCTATTTCCAGACATTTTCCATCATCCCAAACAGAAACTTAAATATTAACTCCCTGTTTACCTACCATCAGTTCCTGGTAACTTCTCTTCTACTTTCTATCTCTATGAATTTGTCTCTTCTAGGTGCCTGATGTAAATGAAATCATGTAGTATTTGTCTTTTTGTGTCTGGCTTATTTTACTTCACATAATGCTTTCTTTTTTTAAGTTTTTTTTTTTTTTTATGTTTATTTTGAAAGAGAGAGTGTGTGTGTATGAGGGAGACAGAGAATCCCAAGCAGGCTCCACACTGTCAGCACAGAGCCTGTCATGGGGCTCAATCTCTTGAACCATAAGATCATGACCTGAGCCAAAATCAAAAGTGGGACGCTTAACCAACCGAGCCTCCCAGGCGTTCCTTAGCATAATGTTTTCAAGATTCATCCATGTTGTAATATGTGTCAGAATTTCATTCATTTTTATGGCTGAATAATGTTCTGTTCAGTCTATGTACTACATTTTATTTAGATTGTATATTTATTGACAAACACGGGTTGTTTTCACCTTTCAGCTATTGTGAGTAACATTACTATGAACATTGGGGTACAAGTATCTGTTTGATTCCCTGCTTTCAGTTCTTTGAGGTATATATTTATTAGGAGTGGAATCACGGAGTCAAATGGTAATTCTATGTTGACCTTGTTGAGGAACCACCAAACTGTTTAAAAAAAAAAAAAAACTCTTTTAAAGCAATGTGTATGTGTGTAGATTTTCCACAGCATTCAACTTGGTTCTCACGGAAGCAACAACTCGCTTCACTTTTGGTTCTGTATTTCACCATTTCGTGACCATTTACTTCACCTGTATAATTATAATATCAAGTCCAGCTATCATAAACAGGTTTATTAGAAACATGTACAATTGATACTTGCTAAGCATATGACTCCATGGGTAAGATCACAAGTGCTGGGAACATACTAGAGAGTAGCTTTCCAGCAAATGAACCCCAACACAAGCCAATATATATTATAGAACAAATGGAAGATACTGGTGAATCTGGCCAGCTAAGAGGAGGACAGCCAAGAAAGCTTCTACTACTCAACTAAACTATCTTTGTCATGATCCAATATCTATAAAGGAATTTAGAAGCGACTTTGGCTCTAGAAAAAAAACAACAGCTGCAAACCCAAGAGTGTTCACAGTCAATACACTTGTTGGGAGAGTGGAGAGAGACAGACAGCAAAAGCTGAAATAGAGTGGGAATTTGACTGATCTAGTCGTTTTTGTATCAACTCTTGAATTTAAGAAAGTACTAATCGATAATAGCAGTGGGTTGATTTTCTTCCCTTCCGGTTTAATTTTGTGTGGGTGATGAATGGAAGATAAACAGGGAATAGAGGAGGCTGTGCCTATTCTTAGAAAAAAGATACCTTTCAAGTTAAGATTTGAGACTTTGAGACATGATTAGAAGGGTTTCTAGCCACTTTTGAAACAGCACCATGAAGCTGTAGGGGGAGTATTTTTATATAGTATCATTCATCCTAGTTAGTGACCCAGGTGATTAAAGGTTTGGGAAATCGCCCCTCTAAATATGGGCTAACGGAACAGGGTTTATTTAGCTTAGAGAGAGAGAGAGAGAGCAGGCATGCTGAGGGGGACTTAATAATAGTCTCCAAGAATATGAGGGATAGTCTGAGTGACGGAGAGCAGCTGTTTCTTGTTTCCACTGGGACTCGGTAAGAACGAATACAGTTACACTGCAACAAGTCAGTTTAAGACCTCCTTGGCCATAAAGTTTGAGGCGGCAAACCCACAAGACCAAAGCCACCTCTCTGTTTCCGAATTGTACAGCTAACTAGCTGTCATTCTTGGGTGGTTTAATAACCAACATATAATAATATATGTTACATATGTGTATATATATACACTGTGATGATGAATGGAAGATAAACAAGGAAGAGAGAGGCTGTGCCTATTCTTAGAAAAAAGACATTGGATATATTTTGTGTATATAAAATATGTAATTGAAACAACAATGAAAGCAATGTTTTGTTCTAGACATTGCATCTAAGTGTTTGGGACACGAAGATGGATGAGACATACACTGTGCTGATTAGGAGCAAAGCAAATATAAAAGCATTATGAAACAATGCATCATTATAGGAGGTCAACTAGGGGAAGAAATTTATAATCAGAAAAATGAGTTCTGGATTTGCTACTAATTTTTTAAAATCTTTTTTTAATGCTTATTTTTGAGAGAGAGCATGTGCACAAGTGGGGGAGGGGCAGAGAGAGAGGGGGACAGCAGGCCCCGCATTGACAGCAGAGAACCCAGTGCAGATCTAGATCCCACAAACCATGAGATCATGACCTGAGCCGAAGCTGGACGCCTAACTGACTGAGCCTCCCAGGTGCCCCAGGATTTCCTACTAATAATATTTAAGCAGTGAGGCAGAGGCAAATGCTGAAAACTTATCAATCATTGTTATATCCTTGTCATCCTAGGTTAGATTAATCACACCATTCATTATGAACTGGATGCGTGGTGCCTTATTTGCCCACTTGGAAGTGTTTTCAAAACATGGTTTGATTTACAGCGGATTGGGCTGCTGTTAAACAGTACCTTTAAAGTTATAGGTTTGAGGGCACTTGCTGGGATGAGCACTGGGTGTTGTATGGAAACCAACTTGACGATAAACTATAAAAGAAAAAAAAATAAAGTTAGGATTATGACAGCATTAACTGTGTGTACACTCCGCACGTTAGGTTTCCATCTTATACCCACATTCATTATAATCTTATTTAAAAAAAAATCTATGCTTCTATCACTGAATGTTTTTTGTTATCTGGAAAGGGGTAAAGCATGAATCATGATTCAAAACTGCCCCCCATAACTCTTTGGCCTTCAAAAGCCAGCACTGAAGCAGGAAAATTAGGGGGATTGTTTTCAATCTTCTCTCAATACATGTTCACCACGAGGCCCTGCATGAGCTCCTTAACCTCCTCGGGTCTCTGTTTTCTTAATCTATTTTACAGGAATGTTTTGAGGATTAAGTGAAATGAAATCATGGGTGCCAAGCCCAGAGCCCAGTAAGCGCAGCCCTCAAGCCATGTTTACTTGCTTCCTTTAATTTACAAAGAACATCTCTTGCCCGTGGTAGAATTGTGATTGCCTCTAGATCATCTTCAGTTAGTGGGGGTTTGTTGAACCTCAGGGGCAAGACTGTAGAGTAAGTTTTGTCTAAAATTCCTTGAAGGCCCCCCAGAGTCCAACCGTATGACTCTCCTTCCTTTTCTAAACGTACTTAATCCAGAAAAAAGTCTACCATAATGCCAAATATTTTAGGAAGCATTTGTTGCAAAAGTACCTGAAACAAATCATGTACACACAGGGAAGAAAAGTGCAGTTTGAAATCAGCAAGAAGATTATGCATTTTTATTTTGCTAGGTTTAAAGGGGAGTAAATAAGTCTTCTGCGTAGTGAGACAGTCATGTAATAGACACTAATTAAATTGAGTGCTGTCCTTTGAAATGGCATCAAATCGAAGACGTGATCACTGCCCTGGGAAAGCTTATGAACTTGTTGGAGAGACTAAACCCACATGTATGAAATGAGCATGGAGTAGTTAGACTCAATATCAGGAGAGGCAGGTATCAAATAATAAGGCTCAAGCCCCCAGGTACTAAGGAAAGGCAAGATACGGGTTTGGGCAGGGATTTAATAAAGCTGTAGAAGACCTGGGATCTTGGTTTGACTGGTCCATAAAACACTATCATTTAAAGACAGACAAAATTTTTAAAAACCACCTAAAATGTTCACTTCCTATAGAAACCCAAGAACATACTATAGTTGCTCTTTACATGTTTGAAATAAATGAATCCTTCTAAAGTCTCAGTGTTCAGGCTGATTTGCTTTCAGGCTCTCAGTACACACTGCCAGACTGCTCCTGCCCAAAATCATTCTTGGTCTGTGGAATATGGAATATCTTTATAAATCATAGCAACTCACATTGAGCGTAAAAATCCCAGCTAGAGATTTACCTCAAAAGCTGAGGCATGCCACATATATTAATGCTGGTGGATTTAGAAACCAGGGTGAGGACCTTTTTCTCTTTATTAGAAGGAGATTTATAATTCAGGGCCTTCCAGGGGGTGAGAATGGATCCTCTGAACTGGCCCACTCCTTCTGTCCCTCCCTGCCTCCCAGCTCCCCAAATTAAAAAAAAAAAAAAAAAAAAAAGGAGAAGTAGAACAACAAAACCATTAACTTAAGAGCATAACTTAATTTATGGCTGAAATCTTGCAAAGCTTATGTCAGCAAAGCCAAATAATTACTGTCACTTTCTTTTAGACACTTGGCTTTATGGCTCCTCTCACCTTGATCATACCACACCGCTGACTTAGTAGCTCTATTTTTCATGGCAAATGGCCTGGTATTATGTTTTTATGCACATGGCCATGCTATTAGATGACAGTACGTGGGGATATCAGAGCAGAGCTAAGTGTAGATAATGAATTGGAATAGTGTTAATGGTTTTGGGTTAGTCATGCTGTCCATATGCCAACTGAGCCATTTCTTTTCTCTCTCCTTTCCTTCTCCAGATTCTCAAATCCAAAGATTTAACATCTCCAACCCAGCGCTACATTGACAGCAAAGTCGTGAAGACAAGGGCAGAAGGCGAATGGCTTTCCTTCGATGTGACTGACGCCGTTCAAGAGTGGCTCCACCATAAAGGTTTACAACCACCCTCTGTGTTCATCCCTAGATGTTCAGTGACCTTAAGTTCTTGTAAGTTGATTGCTGATTTAAGGGTATTGTCACACATCCAAATGACCTCCTTGACTTAATGTTTTCCAGACAGAAACCTGGGATTTAAAATAAGTTTACACTGTCCCTGCTGCACCTTTGTACCATCTAATAATTACATCATTCCAAATAAAAGTGAAGAGCTAGAAGCAAGATTTGCAGGTAACTGAAACTTGGTCATTTGAGGTGGGGGATGGAAGGGCCTGTATTGATCATCTCATGGGTGATGAAATTAGTTTGCATGTGAAATTGGGATTGTTTGGTGAGCCCTGGGAGTTTTAATTGTTTAGATAAAGAAATGGTTGAAAAGAGATGTATAAAGACAGAAAGGATTGGGACAAAGGAATTGGTTCCCTGCTTAAATTACTCAGTGCCCAGTGATGACTTGGCAATAGTACTAACTGATTCATCAACTCCCCAAATTATTAGTCAGTTAACCCCTTTTGTCCTCACTTAAGCAAACCAACTTTCCATGTATGGTAATATTATAGAAGAAGATAGCATACATGCAAGGAAATCCATTGATAATGCCCCAAATCCAATGTCAGGAGCTTACACCCGTATTTCACAGACGATAATTTCTTCACACCGCAGCCTTTCTAACTAACCTTACGTGTATCAGAACACTACACCTTTCCTAGCTGGTGCCCAATATTTCAAATGGCTTCCTTTTCAGACTTTTATAATTGTTTATAAACACATCACAAGTCTTTAATTTTTCTCTATTCTCACTTACCTCTTAGTGATTAGCCAAAGGTCAAGGAGAGTGAGGAGAAACTAAGGATTCGAGACACTTCCCTTATTAAATAACCAGTTTGGAGATGAGAGCTAAGAGGGAAGTCCGCTGAGGGCTAGTGCCGCACTGATTCCACACCACCACATCTGGGAGCTGAGTTCCCTTCCTAACCACCACCACCCGGGACCCTCATCCACTTGTGGAAGGCTACAGTGGCCCTTACTCATGGAAAAATACACCCAGAAGTCTAGAGATTTATTTCAGTCTCCAACCTAGCCATGATTCTCTAGAGTGTGAAGATTAAATGAGTAAACTGGCAGTCTCTTGAGCATGCTTCGGGGAGCTCGCATTTCTAAATCTCAGATGGCATCAGGAAAGTGTAGAGGATGCCATAAAATGAGTGAAAAAGCCCTTTCTTCACAGCTTCCCAGAATAGCATTAGGTAAGGGTGACTTCTGTTTCACTTGAACCTAACTCATTGCAATTTAGTGTGAGTCTCGGGTTAAATTCATTAGGAAAGTCTTCTGAGTTTAGTAGCCTTAGGAAGAGACGGGACTGTGGGTGACACGGCATGTTCTTTTGCTGTGTGTTCAGTCATTGAGGGGCTGAACATAGCCTCAACTGAGGGTTGACTAAAATAAATGACCTTGGTTGCCCTTGGACTATGGTCAAAGGCTTCTTCTGCAGTGACCTTCATAACCAACAAGCCCCGCCTTGGACACTGAATAGTAATGGCACAATAAGACAATTACCCCTTGACAAGAGGTGTAGCTAGAAGCGTTTCTTGTCACCTGAAATTGTCTTATTGTGCCATATCTATTTCCGTGGGGAATGACGGTAGCCAGGTGATGATGCCGTTGTGGTCGTCACTGCTGTTTGTGACAATATACAAAGGGAAGAAAAATGACTGGTTATATTTGATGAAGGTAAAGCTAAATGTTTGTTACCCAAATGCATTTTTTCAAGGTATTGATGGCACCTCCACATATACCAGTGGTGATCAGAAAACAATAAAGTCCACTAGGAAAAAAAACAGTGGCAAGACCCCACATCTTCTGCTAATGTTGTTACCCTCCTACAGACTTGAGTCACAACAGTCCAACCGGCGGAAGAAGCGTGCTTTGGATGCAGCCTATTGTTTTAGGTAAAGGAGATAAAAATAAGATGAAGCGATTATGTCTGTTAACCTTGTACCGCCTTTGTTTTTTCTTATGCATTGACCTAAACTGTACTCATTGCTTAAGCCTGGGTACGGTGTGGTACAGCCATCATATCTCCTAAGGTCATGCTTCCCAGAGGCTACAGCAGTTTTTCTGTGTTGTATTCATCAGTCCCTTGGAATGAAAGGTGAGGTCAGAAAATTAACCCCTGAAGTTGTATCCCAAATCCCTCTGAAGCACTGTGGGGCTGAAAGAGGAATTGAGCTTCTTGCTCCCCAGAGCAAATATAAGTTTATTTGAGGGGTATGGTGATGGGTCCTTACTTGAAAAGACTCACTGTCTATACTGGAAAGCCCTTACCAACCCCCATTCTAGAGTGCCCATGATCATACCTTTTTTCACTGTAACAGAGATGAGAGAAATAGAGGCAGAATGCTATTCATTGTGTTGTTAGCTACAGAATATGAGGGAGTGAGAGCAACTCAAATTTACTTCTCATTCCTTGAAGAGTTCATGGTGGGCAGAGTGTGAGCGTTCTCCTGTGGTTTCTTATCAAGCCTCATAGGAGGAAGTTTTTTTGGTTTTTGTTTTTGTTTGTTTGTTTTTTCCTGAGAGCTGGGGGGCAGTGAGGGGTTCTCACTGAAAAGGTGCTTTAAGAGTTCATGAGTAAAATGGCTTTTGCTCGCCAGAGATGGTGGTTGCAGTGAGCAAGGCTCCACGTTTCTTGATCTCTGTTTCATTCCTGGATCAAGGAACATGAGATGAAATAAAGGATTTCCTGATTCTCAGAGGAAAATGCCTTAGATGGTTCTTTGAAAACAGCTGTTGTACTTCATTCATTTTATATTTGAAAGAGCAGTCGAGGCTGGTTGGCAAAACTGATCTCTTCTGCCACCTCTCTGCTTATACATAGTCATTCAAAGGAAAGGTTTGATGTTCAAGGTCATGGCCAAAAGGCTCAAGGTATAGAATTCATAAGAGAAAGTAGTCCAGCAAGTCACCATAACACTCCATCATGAAAATCATTTGAATTACTATAAAATCATTCAAACCTGGCCCGTGAAATTTGCTCATTGGATGCTGTTTGAATGAGTGAATGAGTCATTTTTTCTGGCTTGGAATGAGGGGTAGGAGAAATCAGCTTTAAAATCTCCACTGCTCTTTCTTCTAACAGAAATGTGCAGGATAATTGCTGCCTGCGTCCACTTTATATTGATTTCAAGAGGGATCTTGGGTGGAAATGGATTCACGAACCTAAAGGGTACAATGCCAACTTCTGTGCGGGAGCATGCCCGTATTTGTGGAGTTCAGACACTCAGCACAGTAGGGTAAGTATTTGGCTTGTGTCTCTTCTATTCTTGGGTTGCTAATGTGTACCCGCTGAGAGTATGTCCAGTGAATTCTAACGAGTGTGGTGCCCATTCATCAACACACATGAATGGGTGCTGGAGAAATCCTTTTGAGTGATGGGGAAGAATGTTGGCTGTAGGTGAAATCAGAAGTAACAACGATCAATTAGAAGAGTAGGTTTTACCTTCCCGATAAAATTATAGGCAACCAGAAGACAGTGTTGTTTAATTGCTTTCTTTTTATCTTATATTCTCAACACCTGTAAGTGATTGGTAGCTGTAAAGAATTCAGTATATCACTTAGTGTCACATACACAGCTAGGATGTGAAGGGATTCAGATCCACACCTAAAAAAGGACCTGTTACCACCTGCATCAGGGACTGTCATAGTAAGGAAAAATTTGAGGACCTCAGCTGATGGTTTGGCATGGTAACTCACCAGCGTTTGGCAATTAAAAAGTCTTTTTTATAGCCAAATTATGGAAAGAGCCCAAATGTCCATCAGCTGATGAATGGATAAAGAAGATGTGGTATATATGTATGCAATGGAATAAAACTTGACAATGAGAAAGAATAAGATCTGGCCATTTGCAGCAACATGGATGGAACTGGAGAGTATTATGCTAAGTGAAACAAGTCAATCAGAGGAAGACAGATATCATATATTTTCACTCATATGTGGAAATTGAGAAACTTGACAGAAGACCATGAAGAAGGGAAGGGAAAAAATAGTTACAAACAGAGAGGGAGGCAAACCATAAGAGACTCTTAAACACAGAGAACAAACTGAGGGTTGATGGGGACAAGGGGATGGGAAAATGGGTGGTGGGCATTGAGGAGGGCACTTGTTGGGATGAGCACTGGGTGTTGTATGTAAGTGATGACTCATGGGAACCTACTCCTGAAGCCAAGAGCTCACTGTATACACTGTATGTTAGCTAATTGACAGTAAATTATATTTTAAAAAATAAAGATTAAAAAAAACTCATTTAACTTCTCTAAGCCCCAATTTCTTATCAGTAACAAGAAACGTTATGTTAAAAATGATCTTTAAAATAACAACGCCAAACTCAAGAATAGATGCAAAGAGCAAAACAATGAAATAAGTGAAAACAATTTGAAAATTAGGATCTCCAAGTCTTTATAACCCAAAGTGAACAAGAATCTCAATATTCTATCAGTTTACGTTAGTGAGGATAGAAAGCTAATTTGGAGGGCAAGTCCTGGATTATACGTCATGGGTTAGTAGTCCAGATCAGCAAAGAGTTATTTACTATGTAATAACGATGCTTGTCCAAGTGCTTTTTCCTGGTACCTCATAATGTAGGGTCTTAGAGATGGAAAGTTATCTTGCATCTCATTTTTCCAAAGAAATCAGGGTCTAAATCGTGTAGATTACTTGCCCGGGATCAAACAGTTGGTGACAAACCAAAAACTTGGAAGGCATTTGGAAGGCAGGCTTCCTGGCTTTATAAGCAGGCCTCCGTTCGCTCTGTCTTACTGAGTTTAATTCCTGAAATGTGGCTACACATTGGGGTTATGCTTCTGTAAATCTCCTTATTAAAGAGGCATAGGAAAAATTGCCTTCACTGCAGGGTAGGAAAATGAATCTGCTGCCAGAAGGATCACATAATGCATTCAGCTGAATTCAAGAGTTTTGGGGTTATCAATTATTGTAGACAATCTGCATTATAAAATTTCTCTTTAATGCATGTGAAAAATCATGTGTTAGCAGAACATGAAGTCTGTTTATTTATAAATGCCTACATATGCTCGACTTTAAATTGACAAATAGGACTCTCCTTCCTTCAGCTGCTTTCCCAACTCCCCTGTAGATTTTGGCACTCCAGGCTGACCATGTGCTTGGCCATGTGAGGAAAGCTTGCTCATGTCTGTCCCTTTGTCTGAGCTCTCTGGCCAGGCTGCTTCAACTGGGCTGTGGCAACAGTAGCTGTAATGTGGGCAAGGCCCAATTGCCAAGTAGAAACATAATTCCCCTCCCTGATACACAGAGGGAGTGTGTGAAGGCTGAGACCGTGCTTGTTTTTCAAGGAGAGAGGAAGAATAACTGTCATGGTCACAAATATGTGGTTTGGACAGTTACCCAAGGAGCCAGAGGTAGCTTAATAAAGTAGTCAGTGTTGCTGCACTGAACAGATCTTCTGTCTTAGGCTGAAAAAATGGCAGTGAATCTCGAGGAAAAGGTCACTTGCTGTTTGCTTAACACATTAATGGCATCCTTGGAAATGTCTCTTTATCATCACTGTAGAACCTAAAGACTTCCATTCGTAAAAATCGCATACCCCTTTGATATAAAATGGAGTGAAGGGCACAGAACTACCTATAGAACCTTCTCTTCATTCCGTCTTAGGACTGGCTATCTGCCGTCCAACTTAGGCACTACAGTTTACCACATGAAATCTAAACGGAGGGTGGATTACTACTACTATTGTTGTTTGAAGCAAAATGCAAGAAAGTGAATAAGTAAAACTATAGATTGCTTTTAATACCATTCTTAATTAACGCTTAGTTGCTTAACTCTCGATCGTATTTATGAAGCAATAGTAAATGAAAAGACTTTCATCTTTTTTTCTTTTAAATGAAAATGTAGGTGATAGTCAATTGGCCTGAGAAGACATAGCACAGAGAGGGTTCACATTGCAGACAGGTGTCTTTTTTTATGCCTAAGGGTAGATCAAAGCTCTGGTGGCAGTTTTACTGAAACATGTGATTCTTCCACATCTCCATATATTCACTTCTTCACCGACCGCAGGAGTCTCGTTTCATCCGGAGAAGACTTACCAGGGCCATCAGGTCAAAAGAAAGTCCATAGAGTCTCTGACTGCACGGGAACTCTAATCTAGGTGGGAACTGGAAATAAACACTAGGTTACAAAGAAGCGTAGACAGAAGAGCAAATACTCAGAGGACCACCTTTTTCAAAGGCCAGGCGAGCGTGTGCTGCAAGGTAGCGATCGAAGTAGAGGATTATTGGGGAAACTGTAAAATCTGTTGAATGAACAATTTTGTGCAATTTGAGCTTTTACAAAAATCATCCGTTTATGATGTATGAGGAAAGGGTTCTGTAGAAGGATGAATTCAGTGATTACTAGGAACACATGTCAAGTTGACCATAGTTGGGGGTTAAGAGAAAGAAATTGTAAACCCAAAACAATTTAAATTGTCTACCGAGTACTCTGGCTGATAACACTACACTACGGAATGGTTCTTTTTAAAGTAATTGCTCCTTCCCCTCCTCTTTTTTTCGGTCTTTTCCTATGGCTTCTTTCTTCTGTGTCTTTTCAGGTTCTGAGCTTATATAACACCATAAATCCAGAAGCATCCGCATCTCCTTGCTGTGTGTCCCAGGATTTAGAACCCCTAACCATTCTCTACTACATCGGCAAAACACCCAAGATCGAACAGCTTTCAAACATGATTGTAAAGTCTTGCAAATGCAGCTAAGGTTCTTGGGAATGTGGCAAGATGCTACTCACAGGTGGAGATGGTGCGGACGACGAGAACAATGACTATGTTTGTTAACGAGAAAACGTGAGAGAGCCTTGCTTCAACAGTGTTAAAAAAAATTTTGAAAAAAGCGGTACTAGTTCAAACACTTTGAAAGTTTGTGTTCTGTTTGTTAAAACTGGCGTCTGAAACAAAACAAAACAAAAAATTGAAGGCTTTATTCTACATTTCATCTACTCTGTAAGTGAGAGAGACAAGAAGCAAAACCTTTTTTTTTTAAGAAAAAAATAAACACTGGAAGAATTTGTTAGTGTTCATTATGTGAAAGGAAAAAAAACAAACAAACAGGAAAATCCCATTAAGTGGAGTTGCTGTGCATACCGTTCCTATCCCATGCCTCACTTGATTTTCTGTATTGCTATGCAATAGGGACCCTTCCCATTCTTACCTTTAGAGTTAACAGTGAGTTATTTATTGTGTGTTACTATATAATGAACATTTCATTGCCCTTGGAAAATAAAACAGGTGTATAAAGTGGAGACCAAATACTTTGCCAGAAACTCATGGATGGCTTAAGAAACTTGAACTCAAATGAGCCAGAAAAAAAAAGGGGTCATATTAACGGGATGAAAACCCAAGCGAGATATTATATGACCAAGCAAGCCTGCATTAAGATAAAGACCCTGAAAACACGTGCTATGTACCAACTGCTAAGGAAGCTTCTTGTAAGGTTCAAAACTGAAAAGCCTGTTAATAAAGGAAACTTTCAGTCAGCATAAGTCTGGAAGATTTTTTTTCTTTTTAATTGTAAATGGTTCTTTGTCAGTTTAGTTAAACTAGCGAAATGTTGAAATGTTTTTGATACATACTGGTCAAACTTCAGACCTGAAAGTATTGCCGTATAGCTATGCTGTTGGTTTTTCCTTCATTTCAGATATATGTAACCGTACCTATATTATTATAATAGATGGGTATAGAAGCCAGTATAATTGGAAACACATCTGCAGATCTCTTTTTGCAAACTATTAAATCAAAACATTAACTATTTCACATGCAATGTGTAAATTTTTACCATATTTTTAACGTTCTGTAATAATGTCAACTATGATTTAGATTGGACTTAAATTGGGGCTCTATTTTTAATGATCGCTCAGAACTGTGTGTTTCCTTTAGCTGGCCAGTACTTTCGAGCAAAGCCCCTATAGTTTGACTTGCACTACAAATACGTGTTTGGTAGTGTTTCCTCCACTGTGCTTTGTGCATTGTCCATTATTATGACATAAGCTACCTGAGTCCACCTGTCCTGTAGATTTTCTTTTATAAAAAGGACAGATTCAAGTTCAGGAGTCTGCCTCCGTTTTCTAAGCATCCTTACTAATCAATTCAGATGTTAACAATCTTCTATTTTAGGAAAACTGGGGAATATTATAGATGTATAGATGATTGAGCTGAAATATTTAGTTTTAGCACGGGCCTCAGGATCTTACTGAAACTCAGAATCTTTGTGGCTGAGTTAAGAAAGGCTTCTCCAACTTGGTTTAATGGATATGCTCACAGAATTCTATTGTTAACAAGTAGAGATCAGACAGTTCATAGGAAACATCTTTCCTTTAATCAGGTTTCTGTGTTCAGGGGGGGAAATGGAAAGATTTACATTTTCCTTGATTTCTTTTTTAAGGGAGAAAAAACTGCCCTGGTCAGCCTAAGTCACTCAGTTTCTTTCACGGAAGATAAGGTTTCCATGTGTGTTCTTTGAAGGTTGTAAAGAGATAAGTCAAATCCTCCCATGATCAAAAAGTTCTTTTTTTCCTCTGAATGAGAGTTCTCTAGATCTGAGGCTAGAATTTACCTTGCTTTAATAAATGAATGATTTGCCACATCGTTGCAGGGAAGGGATCCTTCCGCCAGGGTTTGTAGGAGATGTCATTTTGCCGATTGTCCCTTATTTAGCTGCAAGATAAAAATTAATAGGTAAAACAATGGAATATTTGCAGCGTCGCCTAAAGGGCAGGATGGCGAGGTGCGAATCCAAGTGGAGTTGTCTAATAGCCTGTACTTCCAGATGTTTGACATTTCCTGGCCGTTAATGAAATGACAAATTGGATTCGCAAGTTTGAAAACTGGAAGAGCGAGGGGGGAGGGACGCCCTCCGAGTAAACGGGCCTGTGCCGGGTGTAACCCAATCCCAGAAATGAGTGCGTTTGATTTTTTTTTTCCTTCCGTTTTCGATGAATTCTATGTAAATCACTTTTATTTCTGCAGGTATATTCCTCTCAGATAGAATGACGTTTTGTTTTGTATTATTTTGTCTTTCCTCATGAATGCACTGATAATATTTTAAATGCTCTATTTTAAGATCTCTTGAATCTTTTTTTTTTTTTTTAAAGTTTGGGGGTTCTGTAAGGTCTTCGTTTCCCATAAGTAAATATTGCCACGGGCAGGGAGGCGGGTGGGTGGGAAAGGGAAGAAGGTAGTGTACGGGTGGGGGTGGGGCTGCAGTTTTTATATGTTAAGCAGCAGTACAATTTTATGGTTTAAAAAGAAATGGACTATAAGATTAGCTGTTTTGTATTTTGATGACTGATAACGCTGTATTTTAACATGATGTATGTCTGTTTTGTGGTGCTCTAGTGGTAAATAAATTATTTCAATTATATGTTGATGTGTTTTTCCTATCATGGTGTTATCATTGGGACTAGAGGACACCTCTCCTGCGATGAGAATCATCTCAAGCTGGAAAAGTCATGCATCTTTAAGACTGTGCTCTTATTCTCAAGGATATTCACTTCAGAAATGTCATGTTTTCTAGCCCGTGAGCCAGGGCGTATCTACCAAGGACTAAAGAAAGCCCGGTGCAGCCTTTTCATTCTCTTGGTTATTGCTATTTGGTAATTGTTGGAGATTTAGTTTCCACCCAGCTTGACTGTCTACCAGAAAAAAATACAGAGAGATGTTTGAACGATGCCGTGGCTTTCTGGTTCCGTGTTCTGCCAACCCCAGGGCCAAAAGACCCAGTCTAGACAGAATCCCCTGTAGCCCCTTAACTTGGATGGTCGCTGAGCCAGCCAGATAGAACAAGAGCCACGTGCTCTTTCCGATGGGTGTTGGGAGCAGCCACTCTTGTTTCGTTGGGACCACCGCACCAAAGAACCCCTATTCCCGCAAAGTGCTTTGGCTGTTTCCTACAAGACCAGACTTCGCAAGTGCGTTGCCAGTCTCTTAATACATGGAACTAACAGAAAAGTAGTTGTGGCTCAATCTGGTTGTCTTGCTTGATCTAATGAAAAACACCAGTTTGTGCCCATTGTCTAAACCTCACATGGAAACAAACCATCAGTGCAAGTGTTTAGGCAGAATAAGAGAGAGTCCCTTTTCTGTGATCACCTGTGTTTCATCTTTATACTCAACTCCTAGATAAAGGAAGTGTTTCACTTTAGCACAATTATTTCATGCTTCCCCGCAGAGTGGCCAGTACCAGGCCTATCTTATCACCCCAGCCCACATCACCTTTACGTGGTCAGTAAGAAAAGAGGGTATGGGGGTAAAGAAGAGAATCACCTAGTGGCCATATCAACTTTGGCAAGCTTGTCAGCCACTCTAAGCCTTGTTTTCTTTATTTTTAAAAAGAGGATGAGAATCCCTGCTTTACAGGGTTATGCAAGTTTGTTTTTGTTTCCTTGTTGTCAAGTGAATCTACACATGTAAGGAATCCCCCTTGGTGTTCGGCCTGTAGTTGCTTATCAGGAAATGGTAGCCTTAACAATATTTCTCAAGTTGTTCCATTTTTGGCTTCTTAGCAATTCCACTGTAATGAGCTTTATATATTCAGAATGTAACCTGGGCCCATACTCCCCCATCTTGAGAGTGAATGTGGAAGCCCTCTAGACTCTCATCTCATAAGTAAATCAAGCCATCTTACTTGTTTCTGAGACTATCCTGTAATTCTATTTGTTAAATTTTTGGTTACGTGTCTGACCAGAAATTGTTAAAAAATACTAGGGGGAAAGTTCATGGGAGTCTTTGCTTATGTCTACCAACTCAATTTCAAAGTGAAAGAGACAAAATGGCTGGTTGAATGATCCATTTCCTAAGATGATACTATAACAGCAGTTTGCTGAGGATCTACCGGGTACTGTTCTCTGTTAACCTATTTAACCTCACATATTACCTTATGATGTAGGTTATATATATATATAACTCCATTTTACAGGGAAGTGAGCAAATGCAGAATGGTTAAATCATGTGTCCGAGATCCCCCAGTTTGTAAGAGAAGGGTCTAGAATTTCAGTACACTGACTAGGCATATGTAGTTTTTGAGCAGTTGAACTATGTCTAATCTGAACAGAGATATAACAAAGTGTAATAGACACATCACATTTCGAAGATAGTACAAAAAGAAAGAATGTGAAATGTTTCACTAATTTTTGATATTGATTACATGTCTAAATAATACTATTTTGGATATGTGGGATTAAATAAAGTATATTATTGAAATTAATTTCACCTGTTTCTTTTTTAACACAATTACTGTAAACTTTAAAATTGCATACGTGGCTCATGATTGTACCCTGTGTTCTGTGTCTCTAGCATTCCTTTTTGTTCTTTTTTAGGATTACCATCTTTTTTCACTTACATTGTCCATCTATCCATCTGTCTGTTCTTTCATGCTGTCTGTCTACTTTATCCGTTACAGCCCTTAACACGTTAGTCAAAATTGTTTTAAATTCCCAATCTGATAATTGCAACCTCCTTGCCATGTCTCATTCTGATGCTTGCTCTGGCTCTTCAAATTGCGTTTTTACCTTTTAGTATGCCTTGTAATTTTTTCTTGCTAGCTACACATGACATTGGGGAAAATAAACTGCTATAAATGGGTCTTACTAGCTTAGTGTTGAGGCTGGAGGGGAAACATTCTGAGTCTATTGCTGAGATGTCAGTCTTTTATGGAGCCTCTGCCTCTGGACTCTGAACTTCACAAGAGTTGTTCAGTTTTTTCTCCACCACCATTAGGTGGCACAGGATGGCTAGAGTGGGCTGACGTTGGTATTTCCCTTTTCTAGGTCAGTTAGGCTCTGATACTCTGGCTAGTTAGCCTTTGGTTAATTAGTTGTGCCCAAGGGTGAGCCATTTCAGAACAGAGGGCTTGGGTATATTTCAGAATGGCTACTTTTCTGCTCTCCCTGCTGGATGTACTATGGAATTATTCTCCAGTGTTTACTGTGGGAATAGAGCTCCTGGAGGTAAATCTTAACAAAATTTTGGGGTCCCCCCGTGACTGAGTCCCTCCAGAGTTTTTCTCTCTCAGAGTTGTTTGCACTGAGTCTTCTGCAATTCATCCATTATGGTTCAGTTTTTCCTACCCTGGAATTGTTTCCTACACTGGTTCCTGCTTGTGAGTCGCTGGTCTTTTTTTTTTTTTTTTTTTTTTTTAATGTTTTATTTTTGAGAGAAAGAGAGCACATGAACAGGGGAGGGACAGAGGTAAAGAGGGAGACACAGAATCCAAAGCAGGCTCCAGGCTCTGAAATGTCAGCACAGAGCCCACCACGGGCCTTGAACCAATGAACCTCAAGATCATGACCTGAGTTGAAGTCAGACACTTAACCAAATGAACCACCAGATGCCCTGTGAGTCTGCAGTCTTGTAAGCAGTGATGGGCTGAATTTGCCTGTCTGTTTCTCCAGTTCTGGAGATAGCAGCTTTCTCCTCTCTTACAGATCCAAAGGGACTTACTGATTTTTCAGACTGTTCAGCTGTGTACCAGTTGTTAAGGTGAAGTGACCACTTCCAAGCTCTTTACATGCAGAACCAGGAACTGGAAGTTCTATTTCTATTAGACAGCTCTAGCATAGAATTTGGAAGCTGCTCTCTTTAGAAACAAAGGCTAAACCACTCTCATAAGCTATATTACCAGCTTTTGCTTTTGTAATGAACATATGGTAGAACACTATTAAGCTAAACCCTATGAAACTAGCTTTGTAGGTCATGATTTGTTGCATATTGGCAATTCTTTAGGGTTCAACCCAGCAGCTGGCACTGGTTGACTAATGTGGTAATGAAAATACGAATGCTATACAAGCCCCACTGACAAAATTCTTGATAAAACTGATGGTTAAATACCAGCAAAGCTACTAAGTGGGACAGTATAACCTAATTCTAGAGTGGCTGGACTATTGTATGAAATGTTTTCTGTCCATAGAAATCTTCATCGATATACCTGTGACAATTTTTTCTACTCTGTCTAAGAGGTGAAAAGTCAAAACACCCATTGTGCTCATTTGAGTTACTGGTCTTGAGAAGACATTGCCTTTCTATCTGTAAATAAGGTGTGTGGAGCCTCCTTGGCTTATAGGCCTTAGATGGGTGCATCCAGGCTTTTGATTCTGGAAACTTACATAAGGGAGGAGTTGTGTTTTTGCCCTTTTTTTTTTTTAAAGGAATCTAAATTACAAATACAAAATTTGATTCAGAAAGGGCCCACAGAAATGAAAAGTCAGGATACTGTAAATTTTAAGAGCTTCACTGCGGGCGCCTGGGTGGCTTAGTCGGTTAAGCGTCCGACTTTCGCTTAGGTCATGATCTCGCGGTTCATGGGTTCGTGCCCCGCGTCGGGCTCTGTGCTGACTGCCAGCTCAGAGCCTGGAGCCTATTTCAGAGTCTGTATCTCCCTCTCTCTGACCCTCCCCTGCTCATGCTGTCTTTCTCTCTCTCTCCTAGAAATAAATAAAAATATTTAAAAAAAAAAAATAAGAGCTTCACTGCAAACCTGCCTCTGGGCTTTAAGCTGACACATACTTTTGTTTCTATCAAAAACTATTTATCTTGTAATTCTAGCTAAAACAGAGTTTCATCTCTTTATTGTTAATCTGCTAAATATCTGCTTTCAATCAGTTGCCTTATTGTCTGCCCTCTCCTTGTCTCTCAACCACATTTTATGAGCTGATAACAAAGGAAAATAAGATCCTGGTTTTATAATATTCCAGCTCAGAGATAATAAAGGAAATGCTATTTTTCTATCTCTTTTGAAACATCAAACAAGATCTTATGAGATTGGAGAAATTGTTAATATACATATTTGACACTTATATCCATAGGTATGAATAACTTATTAAAGCTATTTCCTGAAAGTATAAAAAGAATACCTTTTAATGACTTTCTTTTAAATGAAAGAATTGCTTCAGGTTTTTTTCCTGATTGTGTCTTTATTTCCCTGAA